GACTGTCCTTGTGGAGTTAACAACAGAGTACGACGACAGCCATAATCAAGAACCAAGATGTCCACGCTTCGTACAAGGACCATCTATTACCGACTGATGACGTGAATAGCAAGAGCTCAGAAGTGTTTCACAGCCTCGCGATGACAGCTTCGACCTCGGCAGGGGTGTAGAGGTGGTACTTGGGGGCAACCTTGGCTATATCGACGTTGTTTGGGGTCACCTGTTTAGAACGGGAAAATAAGATCACATATTGATGAATGGTTCGACAGAGCTGAGTATGGAGTGGTCTGTCATGCCCTACCTTCTCTTCCATAACCTGCTTCAGGATAGAAAGGGCTATGGTCTCTGCCTCCTCGAGGGTCAATTCCTGCATTAAGTCAGCAAGGCATAACTCTCGATTTTCTTTCATACGAGTAAGAGCCAACTCCATTTTTTTCCAGATCTGCTCTCAACATTGCAGTTACGCATATACATGTTTTTAACAGGACATAAAGGGCGCATTATCATCCCATTTTACATCCTTGTGGAATAGTGAAGCAAAATCTTGCAATGGCGTAGCATATTAAAAGAATTGTAAGCAGCACTGCAACTGAGGTAACGCTCTCGGACACTTCTTAACCAGATTGAGTTTATAAACACTTATCTGAGCTTTGATGTAACTAGGGTTCACAGTTAGCATACCTCTATGGAATTGTACAATTACTAGTTGATTAGTTTAGCATTTATCTTGTATCATACCTTGTTGTACTGCTCCTGCAAGGAGCTATCAGCTCCCTCAGAGCCTGATCCAATTGCCTTTGCGTTGCATTGCCAATAAGTACCAGATGGGTCAGTGTAGTACCTGCAGCACACAAAAGGCAAACCATGAACTCTTAGAAGTACAGTGGCTGTGTATTTGATCATGACAAGGATTTGTCCAACATGGTGAGATAAATGAGGCCATGATTGCAGAATGAGCAGGACATAAAAAGGGCCCGTTCTAACTTCTAAGTGCCTAATCTCCACACAATATTCCATTAAGTAAACTATAAGCATCTGCCAGCATGTACACATGACACCCAATAAACTCATGTCTGAGAGTTGGCTAAACTTCCAGTGGTAAACAAAGAAATTTCCCCGCAACTTATTGGAAGCAGGGAAAGAGTTACTTTTCTACTTATTATAATACAAATATGTACCAAATCATGAAATATGAAGCATGAGCACGCATGCACACGCACGCGCGCGCGCACACACACACACACACACACAAAAAAAGAACACAGAAAATTACTACTGAGGATCAAAGTTGACCTTTCTATACGGAGTATATACCTTAGGGTATCCATAGCGTTTAAGGCCTTCAAAGGCCTTAAGGGATCCACCTAACATAAGGTCTCACCCTGTTATGTATAAAGACCCTGTGTCTTAAGAGTGGATCCCACACAAGAAATAAAAAAAAAAATTCTACCGCACACAAAGGAGGACGAGCGTGGAGTTTATGGGCCCATGGGTGATCGTGGGAGAGAGGAGAGAATCTAGGGAAAAATCGTGTTTTACTCCCTGAGGTCAGGTCTTTGGGCTAAGTCCGGTCCTCATGCTTTTGCTGCTAGGGTCGAGTATAAGACCAGCCTTGTAGGGTCTGTTTGGTTTGTTGGGCTACTGGAGCCTGGCCACAAATCCAAGCCTGGGCACCGCCGACCTGGTTTGCGGGAGCCTGGCTAAGAGCCCGAACAGGGAACCAAACAGGCCCAACGTGCACTATGGAAGCCTGGCTGGGGGGTAATGCAGGGAACCAAACAGGCCCGTAGTGTATGAGGTCGACTCTAGGAAGCTTACGACCCCCGAATTCACAAACTACGGATGCCTTATGCATGTTATAAGTGAAGACCTTGCAGAATGGAAAGATAGCTCAACTATAAAGGCATGATTGGAAAATTCTTGGCTGCAGGGGCTTTCTGTTTTATCATATTTTAACTGGAATTCTAGTTTTCTTATATATTTTCCCGGTCAAAGACAAATAATGGCTTTCTGTTTTATCATACTTTTACTAGAATTCTACTTTTCATGGGAGCTGAACAAACCGTAAGTCTACACTCTACAGTAGACTATAGCAAAGAGACATCGACCACTTCATGCAAAATAGTGTTTACCATGCCAATCCAGAAAGAGCCAGCAAAAAGCAATACGAATGCATGATAGTACAATGATTGTACTGGAGTACAGCCCACTTTAGCATGACAGTCTAAAAAAGGGCAACATGACAGAAGCAATTACAATGCATGATAGTACAATCATTCTATACATAAGAAAAAAGAAGTAAAACAACACACTTGAAGGAAAAAAATGGATTCTAAAGCCAGCAGTTGAAGAAAACCCAGTTCAGTGAGCTAAATGGATCAATACTTACAGGCTAGGTCCATTCTCATCATGTCCAGCAATTAGGAGAGAGACTCCAAATGGCCGTGACTGCACAAATAGATAAGTACATAAGGACTCCAACTCTGTACAATAAATGAAGTGATTACAACTTTAAAACACTCATCTATGAGTTATTTTCATGGAAACATAAACTACAGGAAACTGGGTGTATAAATGCTGCAAAGATAACTAGTGGGTTGGCAACATCAAAATATAGTTGGTAAATGGGAATGTTTTTTGACCTTTTGCAACTGAACCTTATCAAAGTAACCATGGGTCAATCTTCATCATTAGACCCTTGTGGTAATATAATGCTCACAGATGAAAGAGCCAATGCAAGCAGTGTAGGTCTCGACTAACTATTCATCATCGTTTGTAAAGTTTGGTAGTATCTGTTATCTCTTCTCAAAATACTCATTATGGGAGTACTAGCGCTAACTAGAACCCCTAAATGATCTGCTAGATTATGTTTCCTCCACAGTAAAGAAAAAGTGAAATAAAATAAGCAGGTAACCATCAAACCACATTTAGAATGCAGCAAAACTAAGATATATGTGTAAACCCCTTAAAGAGGCGGAAATGAGGTAGTCTGCATCTAACTAGTCTTGTTTCTTTCGTCCTGGAGGTGGTATAATAACATAAATGAGGCTCACCATTGACTCTTCATCACCTTCACCAAAGCGCAGAGCTAAGTCACAGATAGCCTGTGTCGAAGATTCTACGGTCATTGGCTCCCCGTACGAGAACCTATGATTCTAATTGTAAACATCGCAAGTCAGATTACAGGATCAAGCTTTATAACATGTATAAATATGTATATAACCCAAGAAAGTACCTGAGTTTCAACACGAGCATGCTCGACTAGTGTTCTAGCATCAGCAATAAGTCCACTCATGGCACAGCCTATGTGCTCATCAATTTCCATGATTTTTTCCACACTGCTTGGTTCCTATGACATCACAGAGCAAAGAAACATTGAATTCAATGACTAACAATTTAAACATGAAACAGAATATAACATGAAAACCAGAGGCTAAGAGGAGTTGCTATATCCTCTGATAAAACTACTCCTGTTATCAAGCCACAAAATTGCATGAAGACAAGAGTTTAAAGCACTAAGATTCCATCAGCTGGATGACAATATATTGCGAAAAAAATTGCATAGAATGCAGGGCTGAACCAACAAGGTAACAACTGTATGAAAGAGGAGCTACCTAAAGATAAACCTTGTATAAGAAGTCATGAGAATTCAATGATAGACCAAATAAGAGGATAATCATACAAACATAAGTTTGGCCAGCAAGCAATGTTCTCAATTTAATATCCTGATGTTTGTAGCCATATGATTAAGCACTACGACCAGTTAAGAAGAAGAAAAGGTGACTCAGTAGTCAGTAAGTACCAGCAGTGGCGAGGTCACACGTTTCTCAACAGCGAGGACAACACCATCCTTTGTCTTCAACCCGATCGCAGTGGATCCCAACTGTAATAGCAAAAGAAACAGCAACATAAGCATCACTTCGTCACAAATACCCACATAAACCTGGCGACTAAAATCTTGCATTTTAGTCCAGGTGTTTGTTCTTGAGCTATTCTCTACTTAATGCCAATGACACACAACAACCTGCCTGTCAAGGGTTAAAAACTTTAAAAAAGAAAAACATGGCATCTCAGCTGAAATTGACACAGTAGTAAACTAACAAGACACAGAACCACAAAACCTTTTTACACAATAGCAACCTCAATTAGTAGGAGCGAGTGAGATACTCCAGACTTCATCATTATATAACACCCTAAATTCATAAATCACAGCAATTCTGTTAGTCCTAAGAAACCCACTTACACCATTTCAGATTTGCACTCACACAACTGCCAACCCCCAAATCTAGCCCCACCCTCCAAACAAACACAACTGCTGATGACACACAACAAGCCCGCACAGCCACTTGGCATCTTGGCACCCTCACTGCTCAGATTCGATCGAGCACCTCGCCATCCAGCTACTACCAGTGTTCACCTAAACAGCGGTAAACAGTAAACCACGGACACCTATTCAGTTTAGGCCATAAATGGCCCTGTAAACGGTCTTGCCATATAAGAAATATTCCCTTTGTACATTCTAGGACATTTCAGGCAGATTAAAAGAGTGAAATTACCGCCGTCCGTCAATGCCCCTATTTAGGGGTTGTTCGATTTTTCAAGAGCTGCAGAGGAGGGTTGATTTAATGTACATGGGCCTCACTGGCTATCTAAGTGCTACAGTGACACGTTGTGTTAGAATGTCAAGTTTTTTGGGACAGAGGTACTATCGACAATGTCCATCATTTGTCATCTGAGAACTTCATATGTCATTTGTCATGTGGGAACTATCAATAATTCTCTAGTTGCTACAATACTTAATTTCACCTTTTTATTATAGACACTCGCTAAACAATGGGTGAGCTACTGTTTAGCGTTTAGGTTAACACTCGCTACGACCCCAAACAGAGACGCAAGAGAAATCTCACCTTGATGGCCTCGATGGCGTACTCGACCTGGAACAGCCGCCCCTCCGGCGAGAAGGTGTTCACCCCGCGGTCGTACTCCGTCCTGCAAGAACCCAACACCAGAGAAATCTCAGCCGCATCAGACACCAGACGCGCCGCCGGATAATCGAATCGGAGGGTAGGGTTTAGAGAAGCGAAAAAACAGAACACCACAGGGATCGGGTACCTCGTGAGAAACATTCTGTCGGCGACGGCGGCGGATGCGGGATGGAGCAAGAACTCGGCGTCGGCGCCTCCCCCTCGCCCTCTCTCTCTCTCTCTCGCTCGCTTCCCTCTCGCAGCCTCGCTTTTGATGGCTTCTGTTCTGAGCTTCTTGCGAACGAAGTTGAAAGAGAGCCGAGATGACGGCGAGATGTTAACGGAGACGGCGCGTCGTGAAACTTACAGGCGGGTCCCATGTGCCAGGCAGACGGTCCCAGCCGCGGGGAGGAGTTGGGCCGTGACAGAACATGGAAAGCGTGGATGGGCCGAGCAGGTGGACCGCGGATCATGCCGTCCGACATCCCTGCATCCGCGCAGTTCAGTTTCACCGTATCACGCACAACTAGGGGGCACAACCTGCGCCGTTCTTTGACAGCTGTATAGCTGTATATGTATCCCTGCGCCGGCGCGCGTAACAAACCCCGATTCTGCCTTTGCGATCTCGCGTAACAAACCCCGGCAACGCGTTGGAGCGCTTGGCAGCAGCAGCACGTCGACATCGCGCGGCGCCATGGCGAGGCAGGAGCTGCAGCGGCAGCTGCAGGTGCTGACCACGCTCGACGCCGCCAAGACGCAGTGGTACCACTTCACGGCGATCGTCGTAGCGGGCATGGGCTTCTTCACCGACGCCTACGACCTCTTCTGCATCTCGCTCGTCACCAAGCTGCTCGGCCGCATCTACTACACCGACCCCACCAAGCCGGACCCGGGCACGCTGCCGCCCAATGTCGCGGCCGCGGTGAACGGCGTCGCGCTGTGCGGGACACTCGCGGGGCAACTCTTCTTCGGCTGGCTCGGCGACAGGCTCGGCCGGAAGAGCGTCTACGGCATGACGCTGCTGCTCATGGTGGTCTGCTCCCTCGCCTCGGGGCTCTCGTTCGGGAGCACGCCCGCTGGCGTCATGGCCACGCTCTGCTTCTTCCGCTTCTGGCTCGGCTTCGGCATCGGCGGCGACTACCCGCTCAGCGCCACCATCATGTCCGAGTACGCCAACAAGAAGACCCGCGGCGGGTTTATCGCCGCCGTCTTCGCCATGCAGGGATTCGGCATCCTCGCCGGCGGCATCGTCACGCTTGCGCTCTCCGCGGTGTTTCGCAGGGCGTTCCAGTTGCTGGCGTATCAGGTCGACGCCGTGGCGTCCACCGTGCCGCAGGCCGACTACGTGTGGCGCGCCATCCTCATGCTCGGCGCGGCGCCCGCGGTGCTGACGTACTACTGGGGGACCAAGATGCCCGAGACGGCGCGGTACACCGCGCTGGTCGCCGGGAACGCCAAGCAGGCCGCCTCCGACATGTCCAGGGTGCTGCAGGTGGAGATCGAGGCGGAGGCGGAGGCGGAGGCGGAGAAGCTGGACGAGATCACCAGGGGCAGCGACTACGGCCTCTTCTCTTCGCGGTTCGCGCGGCGCCACGGCTGGCACCTCCTCGGCACGGCCGTCACGTGGTTCCTCGTGGACATCGCCTACTACAGCCAGAACCTGTTCCAGAAGGACATCTTCGCCAGCATCCACTGGATCCCCAAGGCGCGCACCATGAGCGCGCTCGAGGAGGTGTTCCGCATCTCCCGCGCGCAGACGCTCATCGCGCTCTGCGGCACCGTGCCGGGCTACTGGTTCACCGTCTTCCTCATCGACGTCCTCGTCCGCTTCGCCATCCAGCTCGTGGGCTTCGCCATGATGACCGTCTTCATGCTCGGCCTCGCCATCCCGTACCACCACTGGACCACGCCAGGCAACCACATCGGCTTCGCCGTCATGTACGGCTTCACCTTCTCCTTCGCAAACTTCGGGCCGAACGCGATCACGTTCATCGTGCCGGCCGAGATCTTCCCGGCGCGGCTCCGGTCCACCTGCCACGGCATCTCCGCTGCCGCCGGCAAGGCTGGAGCCATCATAGGAGCCTTCGGCTTCCTCTATGCGGCGCAGTCTCAGGACAAGGCGCACGTGGACGCGCGGGTATAATCCTGGGATCGGCGTGCGGAACGCGCTGTTCGTGCTCGCCGCGTGCAACTTGTTGGGGTTCTTGTTCACCTTCCTGGTGCCGGAATCGAAAGGGAAGTCGCTCGAGGAGATGTCCGGCGAGGTCGACGGTGACCAAACCTCCGGCAACGGCGCCAATGCCGTGCAGCCTTCCGGAGTTGAGATAATGTAATCCTTCAGAACGCAACTACACGCGGCACGAGAATTTGTAACGCGGCTAGATGACATCGTAAGTTTTGTAATCATGTTATTATTAGACGTAGGAATAGGTTTGGAACTTGGAAGGGTAGCATGTGTAAGATACGCTCTCCGTTCATCAGAAATGAAAGATCGACCGCGGAAAACTCAAGTTTTGCAAAGTTTTATAAACAGAACGTTAGTTAAATTATATGCACATTTTACACTCATAACTTGAGTGAATAGGTTTCTGTTCATAGTGACTACTAGGTGATATTAGACGTAGGAATAGATTTGGAACTTGGAAGGGTAGCATGTGTAAGCTACTGTTTACGAGTTTGTGTATGTGATTTCCGGCCCTGTTTTAATTAGACTCATGGTGGCACATGCTTATGTTAATATGAGTTTGTGAGGGTGTGTTAGGCCAACATATCAGATTTTTAGAGTCTATATACCATCAAACCCATATTAACCCTTTTACGTGAACCCTTTTATGTGAAGCAGTGATGGAAGCATAAGTGGATTGGTGAGGTTTTGTGGTTCGTTTAGTGTACAAAGCAGATGTGAGTAGTTTAGACTTCGAGGGCTCAATAGAATCATCCAATGGTTATCCAATTATTATACTAAATAGGATTTTCTTTTTTTAACCAGTCCGCTCTATATTCCAGAGTGGAAAAATAAAAAATTCAGAAAAAAGTAAAAAAGTCTAATTAGATCTATCTCGAATTTTCGAGAACCCCTTCTTTTCAAAGGGTTCTCAAATCAAACAAAAAAAGGAAAAAACCTGAAGGTTTTATGTTATGTAATTATTTAGATGGTAATGTAAATGAACCGTAACTGTGTAAACCTATTCCTAACAGATTGATACCAAAATAGCATCCACTCTTGTTTTCTCATCAATCAATATAACAAGAGCGTTGGAACAATCTTGCTGCGATCTCAAAGAATGTAAGCTTGAACTTGCTTGTGTAATGTGTATGATTGCGCATATGGTGTATGTGATGTGGTTGATGGTGATCTACTTGTATGAATGGTGATCTTGACCATCACTTAAGAATTGAGATACATCTCCCCAATCAATGGGTATCAGAATTGTTCCGCTTCAGGCCCCGATCGTTTCTTCCGGAATGGGCATTCCATGCCCGGAATAGTTCCCACGTTATACAATTTTGTGAAAACACTAGTCCGGCTGGGAACGGTTCCAAAGAATCAGAACGGGCCCTCAATCGAATGGACCTTTGGATAGGATAATTCGGATGGCATAGGAGAAATGCAGAAACATATGTACCGTAGCTTTTATTTACTGATGAGAATGCTAGTCAACCAACACAAACACCAATGCAAATGAAATTCTCGATCGAGAAAGTATCCGGAAATAGTTCCGAATTATACACAAACCGCAACAAAATCAGAAGGTAATAAATCACACAATGACAGAAGCAAAAGCACACAAACAAACCATCCGTGCATCACATATGCATGCACGCAGAAAGTGCAATGTACGTGCAGAGGCGGTGCAGATCTCTCTACACTTTGGCCTCAGCTTCCTCGTCCACGTTCTCCTTGGAGATCTCCTCAAGCGACTTGCCCTTGGACTCCGGCACGAACAGAGACATGAGCATGCCAAGAAAGTTGGTTCCGGCGAGCACGAAGAGCGCGTTGCGGATGCCGATGCCCGGCGAGTACCCCTTGTCGGGCTTCTTAGGGTCCTGCGCCGCGTACAGGAACCCGAACGCGCCGATGATGGCGCCGGCCTTGCCTGCCGCCGCCGATATGCCGTGACACGTGGACCGGAGCCTCGCCGGGAAGATCTCGGCCGGCACGATGAAGGTGGTGCTGTTGGGCCCGAAGTTTGCGAAGAAGAAGGTGAGCCCGTATAGCACGACGAAGCCGGTGTGGTTGGACGCCTTGGTCCAGTGCTCGTACGGCACCCCGAGCGCGAGCATGAACACGGTCATCATGAAGAAGCCCATGATCTGGATCCAGAACCTGCCCACGACGTCGATGAGGCCGACGGTGAACCAGTAGCCCGGGATGGTGCCACAGAGCGCGATCAGCGCCTGGGCGCGCGAGATGCGGTACACCTCCTCGATGGCGTTCATGGTCCTCGCCGGCGGGATCCACCCGACCTTGGTGAAGATGTCCTTCTGGAACAGGTTCTGGCTGTAGAAGGCGATGTCCAGCAGGAACCACGTGCTGGTGGTGGCCAAGAGGTGGAGGCCGTGGCGCCGGAGGAACTGCGCCGAGAAGAGGCCCCAGGTGTTGGCGCCGACCACTTGCCGCTCCGCCTGCTCCTCCTCCTCGATCTCCTTCTTGAGCACCTTGGCCATGTCGGCCGTGGCCTGCTTCGTGTTCCGGGCGATGAGCGCCGTGTACCGCGCCGTCTCGGGCATCTTCATGCGCCAGTAGTAGGTGAGCGCGGCCGGGATGGTGCCGAACATGAGGATGACGCGCCAGACATAGTCGGCCTCCGGGACGAGCGACGCTTGGGCGTCGACGAAGTACGGCGGGGCCGGGAACGCGTTCCGGAACGCCGCCGAGACGACGAGCGCGACGATGGTGCCGAAGAGGATGCCGAAGCCCTGCATGGCGAACACGGCGGCGATGAAGGCGCCGCGGGTCTTCTTGTTGGCGTACTCGGACATGATGGTGGCGCTCAGTGGGTAGTCGCCTCCGATGCCGAAGCCGAGCCAGAAGCGGAAGAAGCAGAGCGTGGCGATGACGCCCTTGGGCGTGTGTCCGAACGAGAGGCCCGACGCGACGGAGCAGAGCACCATGAGGATGAGGGTGAAACCGTAGACGCTCTTGCGGCCGAGCTTGTCGCCGAGCCAGCCGAAGAAGAGCTGTCCGGCGAGAGTGCCGCAGAGCGCGACGCCCGTCACGGCGGCCGACACGTTGGGCGGGAGGCTGCCGGGGTCCTTGGAGGTGGGGTCGGAGTAGTAGATGCGGCCGAGGAGCCTGGTCACGAGCGCGATGCAGAACAAGTCGTAGGCGTCGGTGAAGAACCCCATGCCGGCGATGACGATCGCCATGAAATGGTACCATTGTGTCTTGGCCTGGTCGAGTGTGGCCAGCACGTTGAGCTGTCCTCCCGCCATTGTGTCAGTCGAGCTTTCCCTCCTCGGCTGCTGCAAGAAGTTACCTCTACTAGAGAGGATCGGAGAGAGGGAGAGGAAGACTGTCAGAAAAGATCGGTGTGCCTGCTTGCTTTGGTCAGTTTCCTAATCGTTGTTTCATATATATAGGCAATCAAACTGGCAAGATGCAGACAGCGAATTAGTACGCCAATCTCACATTGGCTTGTTGCACGTATAAAATACCTCCTGTATGTGGGCTGCATGCATAATGCATGGCATGGCTCCGTACCTGGTCCCTGATAGAGATAGACTGACATGTTGGTAATAAAAGATTGGAGTATTCCGAATGTCAAACGCTTTGCTTAAGAGGTGCAGCCGTACAGCTAGCTTCGTTTTAAGATTTAGAGTTACAGCAAATCCAATAATAAAGCCTGTGTTTGGCTACAAGTCAAGTTTTAAGAACCAAACTAGTTTCGCTACAAGTTATAAGAAACCAAACTAATTTGGCTACAGAAAAGTTACCAGAAACCAAACCATACAGTAGTTATCTCTTATTTATCTGTGAAGAACTTTTTTATTATTACTTTTACCTAGGTCACACATATTTTCTCCTAATCCTCTCCTCATATTTACTTGATGTTTGGACGTGTTGGGGGAGCCCATACGGAGTATGGGCCAACTCCCCCTCGAAGAGGCCTAATGAAGGAATAATGGCGGAGGCTATCCCTAAAACGGCGGAGGCTCTATCCAAAACGGCGGAGGCTCTCCCCAAGACGGCGGAGGCCCAGCACACGAACAATGGCGGAGGTTCTCCCTGAGATGGCGGAGGCTCTCCCCAAGAGAGCGGAGGCCTAGCGCAAGGATAATGGCGGAGGTTCTCCCCGAGATGGCAGAGGCTCTCCCCAAGATGGCGGAGGACTAGTACAAGGATGACGATGAGTTTCTCCCTGGGACGGCGGAGGCTCTCCCCAGGACAGCGGATGCCTAGTGCAGTGATCGTGGCGAAGGTGTTCCCCGAGGCGTTGGAGGCCCATCAAGGTGCGGGATGATCAAGTCAGCAAGGCATACGTGAGGACAGTTGATGGGCCTCCGGTGGGCGTCGGCTTAGGCCCAAGGTGAAGACATCGTGAGACGGTGTGATGAGAACACCCCTGAGGTTAGACATTAGGGCTGGAATATTCCTGGAATGTACCGTAGCAGTTGAGGGGCACTGTTGTAAACTCTGTAAAGTGGTAGTTGAGCCCTATAAATAGAGAACACTTGTAACTGTACAGGGGGCTGGTGAATGAATGAATGAATGAAACCCTAGTTCTTGTGAGTCGGTATTTGATCCTCATTCTCTCTTTCAAGCAGTGCCTCTGCCGAAGCCAGAGTCCGGAGCCTCGGCCAAAGTCGAAGGCCTCCGCCCCTTTCTTACTCCCACTTTGCCAAAGCCTACTGAATCATTCGTTTAGCGACCTTCTACCCGGAGCCTCTGACGAATGATCTTGTCCGACAGGAGTGCGCCGCGTTCAGGGGCCTCTGCCCGTCTTAGGCGGAGGCCGGCCTCCGCCCATCTTAGGCGGAGACCCCAACCTAAGACGAAGGCCTCCGCCCACTTCTCACGCTTGTTAGAAACCATTGTTTCAACAGTGGCGCCCACTGTGCTCGGCACGAAATTTTTGGCAGAGCTAGAAGTTGGAGCCTTCGTCGGTAGGCCTTCTCCGGCCCGTCCTTCGCCAGTCGCCACTGGCCTTCATCGCCGACATTCTCTGGCTAGACCTTCATCAGAGGACCTTCTCCGACCTGCCTTCGTCGGCGAACCTTCTTTGGCTTAGCCTTTGTTGCGACGACTTCATTAGCAGACTGGCAGTGAACCTCAAGGGATGGTAAGAACCTTTGGGCGAAGGTATGAGTGTACGACATACTTACACCTCCGTAAAAACTATCTGAGATCTTAAAAAATTCACGGACCTTTTTTCCAAAAAAAAGAGAAGAAAATAAAGAAAAAAAGAAGAATTTTTAGCCGAAATCTTAAAGCCTTCGGCCGCTACTACTAAAAAAAAGTTTCTACAAAAATTAGAAAGCCTTCAGAAATAAAAGCAGCACTACCCTCTGATTTCATCTTTGCTCACATTTTATATTTTTATAACTCAAGCACTCGCTGCTCTTATTTCTATTTTTGCTAATAACTTCGCAAAATCCAAAGAAAAGTTTTATGAGTCCTGGATTTCGTAACAGATCTTCTCTTCATATTGATCATACAACCTCCGCTAGCCACTATGATGCCTTTCCTCGTGTGTTATGAAAAGATGTGCGAATCTATATAAGCCTTCAGAGATTTGGATCACATATATGCTACCTTTGCAACCTTGGCGATCCAACGATATACACCATGCAGAGCTGCATGTGCAACTTTTGCAGAAAGGTCTCAGAATAAACATGTCAACGTTGCACCCCGCAAAGCTTGGCACTCAATGCTCCTCCAGAGGCGCGCATGCATGTTGTCGGAGGTCACGCAGAGCCACCAAACCGCGGCTCTCAGATCGCACTAAGGCGAAGGCACATGACATGCACCTCCACCCAGCAAGACATGGAGAAACGCCCTCGATTCGTCGACTCCACCATCTCGCCGACACCTAATGATGATGCATGGCGGAGGCCCCCCACCACCAGGATGACGGTTCCAAAGACTGTGCTTGCAGGACGTTGCCGGAGACCCTGGCGCAGCCTCCGCCCGGAGACGCTTGATTGTGTGTAGGTAACTAGAGGAAGGCGCTCACGGACGGCGTGGGCGCGCCGGTTCGCCCTCCGCTCGTAGGGGCGAAGACCCAAGCAGGAGGACGGCAATACTTGCCCATTCTTGCGGGATGGTGTTGGCGATTGACCTCTGCGCCCAAGATCGATCAGGTGCCGCGACGGAGGGCTGCATCCTTCGCCGCGACTCACGAACAACTCCGGCCTCGATCTACCACCCATTCCGAACCACCAAGTCTGACAGAGCTATCACATCAGGCTTTACCTCTCGCCATTTGTGCTTTTATATTCGACTCTTGGTGTATGTGTCTCTCCAACTCTCCATTCTCCTACCAAAGATACTCTGAGCGGTGCATGGAGATATCTTTGGCGACCTATGACTCTAGCGCTTTTTTGCCTTGGCTCGTATCATGTTTGGCCCATCTATTTTGAGCATGAGCCTTCGAATGACCATGCAAAACTCCAATCAATGCTGCTGCCCAAAGATAAGTATGCTGCCCACCTTAATATTAGAATTCGTACAAAAAAGTTCACATACATATACATGAGCTAACCTTCTTGAATTGAGATCGTCGTGTCCTTCACGGGCACATGGGTCTTAAATAAGCAGCCCCACATACGGAACCTCCGCACGCTAACCAGATTACCTTGCAAGCTTTTGTGCTCTGTGTGCATGCGCAGCTTGTTCCTTGGCACTGCATTAGTCCAAGGCCGAACGCACGCAGAAGGGCAAAGGTACAGCCAGGCGGGCCTCCGCCACGGACCTCCGCTCCCAGACTCCACACCAACCATGCCCGCGCGGAGGTTGCATCCTTCGCCACAACTCCGGAACAACTCCAACCACGTCAAGAAGTGAAGGGGGCCAACTGATTTTTATCTGCAGCTGTCGGCCCAACTTGTTGGCAACGAAGGATTTGACCTCCGACACAAACCGCAGCTAAGTTGCTTAACTTTTTGCAACTTCAAATTCTTGGACTACAACACCAAAGGTATCAAAATAGCATAAGAGAATACTTTTCATCAGCTTATAATCCTAACAAATTTCGTCCTTGACATTTATTTTTACACATTCTTGGTCTAACCTTGGCCTCAAGGCAAATTTCGTAAACCAACCTTCATGTACAACTTGTCACCAATGTGACCAAAAAACTTGTTGTGGCCTTCGCCGCATCGAAAGCATGGCCTGAGTGGCTATACATGCTTGGCCCCGACCCGGCTAACTTAAAACAATTTTCAACTATTGTCAAATCTATTTTTCAATAACATGCAGATCACCAGCGCTGTAAGTATCTCTTATCCTCCCAAGCTAAACCCCTTAGAATATATTTCATTTGTTATATGCGTGTTTGCACCTCCTCAAGACAAATCAGTCAGTACTCCTCATCAGCCAACGGTTCTCATTAAGCACTCAGCCTTCGTCACATATTTGTCCAACAATTATATGAATCAGTCTACTACCTCCGCCAATCAGTGGTTCTCATGAAATATTCAACACTTATCAGATAACTCAGTGATCCTCTATGAGTCGGTGAATATTCATCTATAAATGGCCTTCTCCAGTAAGTGGTATTCGACAGCCAACAACCTCCGCCGATTATTGGTCTTCATTATATGTCAGTGCACCTTATCATTGGTTCTTCACAGCCTTCGACACGTATTGGCCTTCACCAGTCAATAACCTTCGTCAGCCTTTGGCCTTCGTCAGTTTGAGCCTCCGTCAATCATGGTCTTCGTTCATCAATCAGTGGACTTCATATATTATTGGTTTCAGGCAGCCTACATCAGTCATAGGCCTTCGACAGTGAGCAAACTCTATCAAGCAGTGGCCTTCGTCAGTTAGTTGGTTTCCATCAGTATTACACCTTCGACAGTGACTAAACCTTTGAGCCCTCTAACCCTAACACTTTCCCTCATTTTTGCAGGTGGCGTTGTTCAATTCCTTCCTTAAAGTATTTATAATATATTAATATGCATCAACCCAATGTTACTTTGTCTAACCTTCGTAGGGATCTGATTACTTATATATTCAATACTAGTTACATCCATACCCGTGCAGGTCCTCAAATGATAGCCTTCGCAAGCTATCTGACTATAACCCTCTCATATAATGCAGAGCTTATCTTTTATTCAAACTTTACCATCATTTTTGCAGGATGCATAATAACTTTACACCTTTTAAATATTTTTGCGCAAATGCTATCATTCTCATCATCGCATACATATATTACGTAAGTACATTGCAATGCATGGCCCGGGCCACCCGGAAGAAGTCCCAAGAATACACG